CCCTACCCCCTCACTAGCACTGTGCTATTTTTAGTCCCTCAGTCCATTCCCCCACCCCCAGATGGATAACAACCCCCTTTGGACCACTCCTGAGCCCACCAGAACCCCCATCCCATAAGCTGCTCCTGGTATGAGTTTTAGTGGTGTTCAGCAGTGGGAGCCAAGCAAGTAAATCTGGGAGGGAGGAGAGGACGGAGTTATTCATCTAGGAAAGGGAGAGTGGGGTAGGCCAGGGAGCTAAAATAGCCCCTGGTCCCCAGAGATGGGGGAGAGAGCCCCCTTTCCCTCCTGCAGGCCCTGGCTGCCCTCCTTGACTCTGCTTTCCCCCTCTAACCTCCCCAATGTGCCCCCCCCATGGACCCTTCCTGTCCTCACCCTACCTATTCCCCCCAAAGATCCCACCTGACTCCTTGATCTCCCCAATTTCCCTCTCCACCATAGTCTTCTTGCCCCTCTAAGGCCCTCAACTCTCCCTCCCTAGCCTCCCATCTTGGCTTACTTTAGACTGGGCAACCTTAGATTGGTCTAACTTCCTCCTCACCTCCTTGAATGTCTGTATGCACCCCTGGTGTCTTAAAGCTTGTCTAACAGCTTTCCCGGTATATAGTTTATTCAATGAAAGATATCATAAAAAATCTTTGCCCAGGATCTATACTGGCTCTTAGCTATTAAGTGACATTTGTAGCATTGTTTTTGACCTGTGAATCCTCAGATGAGCTGAGATTCCACTTTTTCTCAATATGCATATACTGTAAACTGAGAAATCCAAATAGATTGTAAAATGGCCAAATATCTAACATTATTTTGACTAGATATCAAGCCTACCCTAAAGAAAAGTCCTCTGCAACAGTGGAGTCACTTACAAGGATGGCATGCCACGTTTGAGCCCATCATCAAGAAACCTAAGATACAAATAAAAAAAATTATTGAGTATGTATCTTCTTTGAGACCAGAATAACTATGACAAAAATTAAATTAAGCAAGTCAGATATTCAAAAGATATTTTAAAGAATACTGAAGAAATCCCAATTATTGTGAAACAACAAGTAGGAACAAGATATAATAAATCAAGACTCACTTCTAGGACCTGGGTAGAATTCAGGAGTGATACTGGTGATTCTTACAAGTTGCTCCTTCTTACAAGCATTCAGGAAGGAGACAATTGACATCAGAGGCCAAACATTCAATAGGCCACTTCTCTGATGAGTAAGAGAATTTGTTGATAGGAAAGTAGAAATGCTGTCAATGATGAGACTATTTGAATTACATGATTCCCACAACAGCAGACAATTATATCTACTTCCTCTGTTCAACACTAGCAAGTTTTCTTTGGCACACTTTTTAAATAGGAAGGAAAAGGGAAAGCAGAGCTTATGCTAAACTTACAATATGCTAAAGGATTTTTTTTGATAAAGGAAAAGATAAAGGATAACATTTTGAGAAATGTCAGGCCATTTTCAAAAATGACTTAAGCACTCAGGTCTTTAAAGTCATCTTAACAAGTGCTCTGGGGGTGGGGTGGGAGAGTGCTTTAATTAGAATGGCTCTCAGGAGCTACATTAATTAAAACGCCAGCAGCATCTCATGTATTCAGCTTCCCACACTTCAAAATGGTGGCCAAGGCATTTTAACTAAAACTCGTTCGACAAGCTTTAGTTAAAGCAACCTCACTATCATTTTGAAGCACGGGGATGATGAATACTTGAGCCACCAAGGCTGCTGGATCATGCTAATTAGCACAAACCAGCAGACTCGATTAATCAAACCTGCTCCAACAAGCTGTAGTTACAGCATGTCCTGCATGTCTACAGGCATGTAGGTTTCAGCAAAAGTCCATGATAACATTGAAAATGATAAATGAGTTTTCATTCGAGTATCTCATGCCACAGTACAACATTTGTTAAGCATTTATTTTATGGATTAAAAAAACATGCACAGACAGAAAGGTAAAAAAATATATTAATTAGGAACATAGTCTTGTGCCTACTTAAATCAAAGGAAACTCCCCATTATCTTCAAAAAGCTGAGGAAACTGGAAAATTGAGGCCCAGCATGAACTGGACATGGTATTGCACATAAGAATAGGTGGATAAAATAATTAATACAAAATGTTATTCATCAAACCTGAGTGACACTTATGAAGTTCAAAATATTCCAGGCAGCTGAAAATATAATAGCCTTCATATTTATTTAGCTATCAAGATGAAAAATCTAGCAGTTAGTTAAATTGTGGAAGTGGTTTTTTTTCATGAGTTTCAAAAATTCAGTTGTGAACACAGAACATTAAGGGTCTTCTTCTGCAAATCTTTTTACAATGAGTATCATTGAGCAATGATACTTGTCCTGATGATTCTGTTTAGCAAGTTTTCAACAAACTTCCCAAAACCACACAATTTGAAGGATACATCGCACACCCTTTTCATTTAAATGTGAAAATTCAAAGTGAAGCAGGGTGTTTCTGGAGAATTAACAGAGTTCAGTTTTAAGCACGCTATCAGCCAATGTTTTCACATTCTGCCATTACTGTAATAATAAGTGTTTGCATTCATTTTCTTTTTGAATATAAAATACATTATTTGAAAGTCCTTTTGCAGGACTGAATTTTTATTGTTGACAATGCACATAATTAATCAGATTTCATCACATAAAGAACATGAAGAATTCTCAATAGCTTTATTGAATGTTTCTAGTATTTACTTTACAAATTCCCTTAACCTTATATTCTTCTTTATCTCTGAAGCTCAGTACCAGAGTGTACATTAACAGCATGCTTCCTTAGTAGCGATAACTGTATCGCAGTGTAATCTCACTGCTCAGAGGTATGCAGCCTTTCATTTCTTATTCTATTTCTATTTCCCCTGTAGGCTGGGAAAGGGAAATTTCCACCTAGGGAGTTCAGCATCATTCAACATTGATGTTACTTGTCCAACAATTCCTTACACTAGGGAGACCATATGTCAACTACAGTTAGCACTTACAATTTATCAATACCCACTTACACATGTAAAGATCTCTCTCTTTCTCTCTATCTCGATACATTTCAAACACTGGTTTTGAGAACAGTAGGAAGGCAAATAAAAGACAGAAATAAAAAAAAACAACCCAAAAAACTTACATCCTTTGTCTCTCTCAGTCCATGCATTCAAAGAAATTCTGGTGTTGCTATTGCCCAGAGAGGGTCATCCTTTACACAGGTAGAAGCATCTATTTCACCCTCCCCTTGGTGTATGAAGTTTGAATGCTCTGCTGTCAACAGCAGAAACAATAATGAGATCTTTTGTTTCCTTCCAGCTATATGTTGCCTGTTGGCAGTCCTGGAAGTTACTGTATGATTGAAATAGCTGCAGAAGGAAATCCTCCTGTACAACACCAAGTCTTTCTGTCATATCAGGTGTCTCAGGTGAGCTTGGAAAACATCATAATCAAAAACTAGCTACTTGCTTAGAATATTACACCAATATCTACACCTTAATTTTTCTCCTAGGAGGTTGCTAAAATTGATTATTATTTATTTACCTTGGATTTTCACTTAATCAAAACAAACTGATCTGTTTACAGATATCTGTTTATAAACCAGTTATACATATTATGTATGTCTATAGGCCGTTTTATATCATCCTTACATAAATGTGTTTTTCCACTAGCTTCTTCAAAATTTCTACACTCTAATTAAGTTAGAAACCCCATCTAGCACCAAGAGATTTAAGTATACCAAAAGCTGACTTGACTTTCCTCTTGCAGTACCCGAGACAAGACACCGGGAAGGTGATATAACTAGGCCATAACTTTATTTAGATAACATATCTGGGAACTATCCGGCAATAGCTCCTGAAGTACAGGCCTTTGTTCTTTTGTAACTTACTGCATCTAATGGAGAATTACTATCCATTCCTATTCTGTTAAGCTTCAGCTTCAAAACAGAAATTTGCTGAACTGCTCTGAAAGACCTCATAATTTTAAAAGATATCTTATAGATTCATAGATGCTAGGGTCAGAAGGGACCTCAACAGATCATCAAGTCCAACCCCCTGCCCTGGGCAGGAGAGGGTGCTGGGGTGAAATGACCCCAGCCAGATGCCTATCCAGCCTTCTCTTAAAGACCCCCAAGGTAGGGGAGAGCATCTACTCCCTTGGAAGCCCATTCCAAGTTTTGGCCACCCTTACCGTGAAGAAGTTTTTCCTGATGTCCAGTCTAAATCTGCTCTCTGCTAGCTTGTGGCCATTATTTCTTGTAACGCCCGGGAGCGCCTTGGTAAATAAAACCTCACCAATTCCCTTCTGTGCCCCCGTTGTGAATTTATAGGCAGCCACAATGTCGCCTCTCAACCTTCTCTTTCAGAGGCTGAAAAGGTCCAGGTTCTCTAGTCTCTCCTCGTAGGGCTTGGTCTGCAAGCCCTTAACCATACGAGTGGCCCTTCTCTGGACCCTCTCCAGGTTATCCGCATCCCTCTTGAAGTGCGGTGCCCAGAATTGCATGTAGTACTCCAACTGCGGTCTGACCAGCGCCCGATAGAGGGGAAGTATCACCTCTTTGGATCTATTCGTCATGCATCTGCTGATGCACGATAAAGTGCCATTGGCTTTTCTGATGGCTTCATCACACTACCGACTCATGTTCATCTTGGAGTCCACTAGGACTCCAAGATCCCTTTCCAATTCCGTTCCACCCAGCAGGTCATTT